TTATTATTATTATTATTATTATTATTATTATTATTATTAATTTGAAGAGTGATCAGTCGGTAAATGTTGAATCGGCGGTAAATGGAGTATTGTATCTGGCAAAAAGTTTTGAAGCAACGCAGCTGGCAGTTTTAGAAGCGAAATTAACGGTCAGCGACGAAAATCATCATACAGAGCCAGATGATGAAGGTTTGTGTGCTTAATATAAGCATAATCTTCCCAACAACCACAAAAAAAAACATCTGAATCTTCAAATGTTCATGTAATATCGAATTTTGCGTTTTGATCTGATCTGATCTGAGAGTAACTGCAAAAATAACTATCGGTTTAATTTTTGAATTGGTTGATTTAGCGTTGGTAATCATACGCTTGGTACGACGTGAAGAGCAGATTGCTGATGTTGACTTGTTGAAATTTGACGATGAGATCGTACCGAAAATAATTGCGGTACCCGAGGATACGCCAATTGGCTCGTATGTATACACGGTGAACGTGAGACCAGTGGCCACAGAACTTTTGGACAATTTGGCGTCGTCGTCGTCACTTCGTTTCGATGATGGTAATCAAAATTTTGTTGGCGGTCTCCNCCCCCCCCCCCCCCCTTGGCCTCTTCCAGATGGCAGATGGTAGATGGCAGTCCAGATGCCTAATCGCCGCCGCTAATCCGACGACTCATCTAATAATCTGCCTGTTTCTGAGTGACAAATGTGACCAGAAAATCAACAAAAAATCACTGGATCAAATCGCCAATTGATCAAAAATAATTCCGAGTTGATCAAGTTCTATCCATGAGATCAATCAATCAATCAATCAAATTGCTTAGGATCTGGATACTAGGAAGTAGTGTGTGTGTTTTATGAATGCAACGGCATGTATTTCAGCCTCAGCTGCTCAAGCGGAGTTTGATGTGTCCATCACAGGGACACGGAACGCTGCTCTGAGCAACAACAACAACTACTACAACCATAAGCAGCATCTGCATCGTCGTATCACCTATTCCCTATCAGAAGGGCATCGCCTCTTTACCATTAATCCAATTACAGGTAAAGCACCTCTATCAACAACACTATCAATCATGCAGCTTAATACCCGTTCAGACTAATCCTATGATTAATACACATGAAATTAATAATACCATCAATAGCAATAGTAATAATAATAATAATAATAACAGTAATAATAATAATAATAATAATATTAATAAACGAAATGACGACGAGTTTGAATGCATTGTTCAATAGCATTTGCTCTGTTTCTCTGTGTGTCTGCATACAGTGTTGCAGGCGTTATAAGTACGGTAGCCGGGCTGCGCTCAACGGGTGAGTCGAACGTTACCGTAGTGGCCAATCAGCCGGCATCGCAGACGAGTGTACCCATTTGGCTGGTGGTTCGTGCCGTACGCTCGGCATCCACAACCCGCATGTACTCGTTGACTAGTGAAAGCCTTGTATTGAACATCACCGAAAATGTAGCAATCGGTAAGCACTAGCAGCACTCTATCAAGTTACTGATGATGCTGTGATGTTAAACGTAAAAGAAAGCGATTGGCAAATGGATGATGGCTTTGTTGAGCGACGAAATCAAGCAAAAACGTTTGATCAGACAAAATTTTTGTTTGATTGATTGCATTTGATCAGTGAAACGAACTTTTGATCAGTCAGATAGATCATAGATAGATATGCAGAGTTGATCTGCTCGATCGACTGCTGTGAAGATGTTGATATGTATGTGCTGGTCAAAGCTGACTAAGACAAAGTACGGTAGGTTTTAATCAGCCAACTCAGAAAAATAGCTGTATCTCCTCGAAGAGGCAGAATTTTTCGGCGAATTTTTCATTTCTAGAAAGCTGAGATTTTGCTTGAGATGCTAGCTAGGCTTGAATGTATCAAACCTATATTTCTATATAGTAATGTTTGGCTGCTGTTCGAGAAAATCACTCAAAAAAAGAATTTAAGGCACTTTAATCAGTTCATCAATTGTATCATCATCAGCAACAGCAGCACAGCTGCCAACGCCAAGCGGTGACACTGAAAAAAACACCAAGAAAATGCCATCCTTAGGCCTTTCGTATCGTATATTTGGCCAAGACAGCGCTTATCTCCGCATTGACGAAAAGGTTTGCAGTAGCAGCAGCACATCGATCAATAAATCACTAATTAAATCACTCTTTAATTTTGCTACTTCTATTTTATTATTATTATTATTATTATTATTATTATTATTGCTGCTGTGATTTTTCAGGGTGCCATCTACACCGCATTAGAAGTGGATCATGAGATCAAACCGCGCTTAGCTGCATTCATTTATGTGTTCCATTCGACCAGTGATCATATTTCGATCATACCGGTTCGTCGCTTTATTAATCATGCTTGAAGTTTTTTATACAGCTATTATTATTAATATTATTAATACTATTACTATTACTATTACTAGTATGATTGTTCGCTGATCAGTGAAACAGTGTTCGTTGTAATTTTATAATTTCAGATAACAGTAAATGTGTTGGATGAAAATGATTCAGAACCGCAATTCCCCAAGAAGTTATACGCAGCCAAAGTTATGGAAAATAGTCCGATTAACACATTTATCGTTAAAGCTCAGGTGATTAAAACTTTATCACTGGAAGTTTATATGAAATTAATCGAGATCACTATTGCTTTGCCTATTGCTTTAGTTGTCATTATAATAAATAAATATTTCAATAGACATTTAAGGCGATGGATTCAGACGATTCGGAATTGGAGTACTCGTTGATGATGAATAGTGATTCAGCAGCGCTCTCGTCACTGCTCACTGTCGATCACCAAGGCCAAATTCGAAGCGCCGAGCCATTGCTGGGTCTTGAGGGTGACTATCAATTTGCTGTGATCGCTCGTGATGGCAAACACAACGGTGCGTCGGCGAGCGTTTTCCTCACTATTCTGCCCACTTCACGATGTCAACCCACTTTACCCGAATCCACTCCCACTGTCTTCACCATCAATGAGGTATCTATCTGCCTGTTATCATATCAGTCGGCACCATATCATATCATATCAATATCATATCAGTACCATATCATATCATATCATATCATATCATATCAGTCAGTACCATATCATATCAATATCATATCATATCAGTCGGCACCATATCATATCAATATCATATCAATACCATATCATATCAATATCATATCATATCAGTCAGTACCATATCATATCATATCATATCAATATCATATCAATACATGTTCTGTTGTCGTTATCATTATCAATGTTATGAATTGATTGCAGCAGCTTAATGTCTCACCACAGCACTCTCATTGCAGAATCAACAAGCACCAACCGTCTTAACACACTTTAAAGCTAATTTACCAGCAGCAAAATCCGACGATGACGAATGTGAATTGAAATACGCCATTTGGGATGGTTTTAGATACGTTAATGAAACGCAATTCTTCACGATGAATGCACTCACTGGTGAGTTGAGCACCAGGGTGGCATTTGATTACGAGACATCGAATCGCTATTCGGTCTGTTATTTATTGCTTTATTAATTTATTACTATTATTATTATTATTGTTATTATTATTATTATTGTTATTGTTATGAATTAACTCAATTCACGATACTTATCCGTCATATGATCGATTAGTAGGGATCAAAAATTTTATTTGGTTGTACTTATGTCTAGATCAGATGTCTAGATCAATCACAGATCAGATCGATCTCCCCATAGGTTAGGAAATTACCCGATTCTGGGTTAAAAATTTAAATTCAAAAAAAAAACCAAAGGTGATTAATAATAAGCGGTTGTTTTCAGCTAGTGTTGGCCGCTCAAAGCGGTGAGCTGTTCGCACAATTGGACGTCGAGGTACGTGTTATGGATTTGGATGATAATCCAATAGAAGTGATCGATAAGATGAGTCGATTCGATGTGGCCGAAGACGAGCGAGCAGGTGAATAATGAGTGGTGACGTGGTTGTCGTTTGAATTATACTCATTGAGTTTAGAATAATAATTAGTAATCGTTAATTAATTATTCAGGTAAGATAATTGGTCGTATTCGTGCACAAGATCGAGACGCAACCGATTCTGTCTATTATCATTTGCTGACGGATGCTGATGGTAAGTTTGAAGTGGACACGACCAGTGGTACGATCTCACTGAGAGATCAACTCGATCGCGAACGTCAAGATTCATACGAGTGAATATTTATTGATCTGATTGAATTTTTTTATTTCAATTCTAGTTATTATTATTATTATTATTATTATTATTATTACTATCGTTGTTATAAAAAACATCCTTCCTTATCAGTTCAGGATATCATTTACTATTGATTTTATTGGTTGATTTTTGGACAAACGATAAAATATTTAGATTGAAAATTTTGGTATCGAATTCGGCCGAATGGCACTCGTCGTCTCTATCAGCCGAAACGGAAACAGGCATGAGACGTGAAAATGACCATCCAGCAGCATCAACCATACAACAGCAGCAGCTGCAGGATCAGTTATCAAAAAGTGATCAAATGGCAGATCAGAGTGAAGAGCAGCGGCAACACGGCGGAGTGCTTGCAATCGTAATGATCAATGTTCTTGACGTGTGAGTACTTGATTAATTGACTAATTAACTAATTAATCAATTGTTGATCAGTTTTTTTAACGAATAAATAATGAGATGTAAACAAACGAAAGAAGTTGATTGAAATTGATTGATTGATTGATTGGATTGGCGATCGATTATTGATTGTTTCAGTAATGATAACGGTCCAATATTCGACAAGGAATTGTACGTGAAAGCTATAGCGCACACAGCGTTGGCTGGTACAAAATTACTGAGCGTTCACGCGAGGGATCCGGATTTAACAAATCAACTCTCGGCTGGTTTGTTTTTGAGTTTCTTTCGAATTTTTTAAATTCATTTGGAGTGAATGAATTGAATTTATCATTTGTTTATAATAATGGAGCGTGCATGCATCTATGTGTACGGATTAATTAATTGTTAATTAATTAATTAATTAATTAATTAAGTAATTGATTGATTAAGACGGTGATATTGTGGTGTATCGAATTGACGATATAATCTATCGATATTTGGATCGGAGTCGTCAAGCCAGCGATTTTTTGGCTGTTAACGAACACAGCGGTCTGGTGAGTCTTAGCCAACCGGTTGCCGAGTTTCGCGGAGGCGTTTTCGAGGCACGCATTATCAGTTCAGATATAAAGCCGCAGAACACCTTGGCGCATACGGCAACAACAAAACTTAAAGTTGGTTGTTGTTAATTAATTAATTAATTAGCTAATTAACAAAGTTGTTAATTAATCGTTGAAGTGTCTTCAGGAATTGAAGTGTTTCATGTCTTTGTGGCTGCTTTTTTTGGAGATCAATTTTGAAGATCAAAATATTTTGCCGCCGCTTTGCCGTGACTTTTTGTGTGTCAGTCGGTTTAGTGTGGAGCGACGAGCGCATTTTTAAGTGATTGACAAAATTTTTGAAGAAATAAACTAAATCATATCATAATTAATAATAATCACTAATGATTAATAATAATAATTAATAATCATAATAATTAAAATCATTTGGCTGCTTGTTCACAAGCCAAGCGATAGACTTTGCTTATAAATTGAGCACTACTTGTCAGGTTTGGATCTACGATGAAAGCGATGATGTGATTGAGCTAGAAATTGAGTCAAATATTGAGGAGAAATTGAAAAGTTCCCGAACTCAGGAAATTATTCAGTGGGTTCCTATTCATTTCTAAACATCGATCATTCAAGCAACATTTTAAAGATCATTTAGATCAATCGCACTTGACCACAACAGTAATAATTTGATAATAATTAACTAACTAATTAATTAATTAATTAAGTTCTGCATTTGCAGTTTGCTGTCGGATTTGTGTGAATGTTCAGTGATTCTGTTGGGTGCTGATTATGGCCGCCTGATGAAAATGCATGAAGTTGATAAGCCAAGTCAAGTAAAAGCTACTGATACGGCTGCTGCTGCTGCTTCTACTGTTGCAGCGTCCAATTCACTACAGCAACAGCCTTCTAGCAAGCATATTCGTGTGCATTTTATATTTGTGAATCGAACCAATAATCAGATTTTAACGGCCGAACGTGCCATATCGATTGTCGATAAAAAGGCGGCGATCAACCCAGATTTAGTGGTGCCACGTTTAATCGCTGCCTCTGCTGCGGCTGCTGCATCCGCTCAAGTGAGCAGCCTCCTTCTTGATAATACTTATGCTATTGTGCGCATTTACTTAATGGATTTGTAGCTTATTTCTGAAATAAGTGAGCAATCAAATCAATCAATCAATCAATCAATCACTTGATACTATAAGAAATCAATAAAAATCGCGTCAATCGTGGTGGATCGATCGCTCCTGGAAGTTTTCAGTTCAGTTGATCACACACACTTTCAATTTCAGCCACAAAGCGATGGCCATCGTTCAGCAGCAGCAGCAGCAGTTCGATCCGAGCCCAACCACCACCACCACCATCAGCCATCGACGACGACCAGTCGACGAAGCACCGAAGTGGCCTTGCTACTCTACGTATTTGCCTTCTTACTCATAACAGTGCTACTCATCTTTGCCTTAATTTTATGCTACTATCGTTCAAGGTGTGCTTTCAATGCCAATTTTTTAATCATTCCATTCATTCCACTGAATTGCTATGTTGCCGTCACATAAAAGATCAGCAGATCAGCAATCTGATCTGGCGAAATCTGATCTAAAAGTCCGCATTTCTCTCAACCGTGTCAGTATATTGTAACGGTCGGTCGGCGGCGGCGACTCTGCCATATCCGATTGTTTATTATCCGGATTTATCCCGCTGTTCAGTTGTCGCTTGCTTGATTCCTTCCTCAGCCGACCGAGCGAATTAAATGTGTTCACTATTCAGATTTTTGAGTGAGAAGCGTTCGTATGAAGAGCAGAAAATAGCGGTTGGTTCACTAAATAAATTGAATCGCTACAAACAACCACCGCCCTATATCGCGCCTCCTCTTCATAATCTCCGGTTAGATTTGGCGTTCTAGCACGATCACGAGATTACTGTAAACAATGCATTCACCACAAAAAATAAATCAATAAATCGATTTCAGAGAGAAGTATGCTGTGGATGAAACGGAATCATCCTACGGTACCCAAGAGGTGCAGATGATCGTAGAGGATGAGTCTATCGAGAAACGGGTACGATATTCGTGATGTGATCTGATCAAGCGATTGATATGATCGATTAGATCAGCAGCAACAGCAGCAGCAGCAGTTCACTTGAAATCTTTGTTTCAAATTGAGACTCACTAACCAACCGACTGCAATTCTACTATATATCTAATATAGTTCAATGAAATGCGATTGATTGCAACAGTAAAATCGTTATTATTATTATTATTATTATTATTATTAATAGTAATAATAATAATAACAATAATGTTACTTACTCGCGTATCATTAACCTGTTATCATTAATTAAATCATTATTGCTGCTGCAGCAGCACACTCACTTACCACCACTATTGTACGATTGCAAATCTCATTAATAAAGCTATTTTGAGTTCACATTATAATCCAATGACACACATCCGTCACAGACACCTCTTATCAGAACACTCAGAACAATAGATCATAGGTGTGTGTGTCGTTAATTA